GCCGGAAGCCGCGGGCCCGCGCCGGAAGAGGTGGGGTCGTCGCCCGGGCGACGCCGCTCGGATTGGCAACGCGGTCCGGAGGCGGGATGGGCCCCGGCCGTCGCTCAGGTAACGGTTCTGGGGCTGTGGGCGGGGCGAAAAGGTGGGCGCGGCCTTCGCGCCTGAGACCGACGTGTGGTTGGCTGCGGGGGCGGGGCCCGCAGGGGAAAGGGGCGGGGCCACTTAGACAGCACAAGTCCATAGCAACGGCGCTCTGGGAACCGTTTGCCTAGCAACGGAGAGACCCTCAAAAGAAGGCCTCGTCCAAATGCTGGACGTCAACAGATGACCCCAGGTGACCCTAGTGTCTCCATAGACCCAACATACATCCTCCTGACCTCCAGTATTTCCCACTGACATCTTAAAGTCACCAACTGGCCACAGCATCTCTAGCCATTCCTTCCCACCCATGATGACCAAGCCCCCCCAAATCTCGCTGATCCCCAGTGTCTCCATAAAACTCCAAGGACTTCATCTGACCCACTACTGATTAATGCTAACCCCAACATCTCCACATTTTCCACCAACCTCCGATATATATCTCCGTGACTTCACTACCCTCAAGGGTCTCACTCGGTCCTCCAACACCCACCTCTGATTCCAAAATTTTATCGATTCTCGAAACACTTCCAGGGCCCCAATGATCCACTAGTAACCCCAAATCTCATCCAGATCCCAACAGCCCCCACAGATAGCCAGTGCCCCTCACTTCTGCTGAAGCCACCCCACCCCCATCACAGATGTTCCTACATCCACTTATTCAGTGGCCTCCCAGATTTCTCACCGGCATGTCCCAGAGGCATCTCACACTCAAGTCCTACAGGGAACTTGACATCTTACTCCAAATCCTACTCCTCCCCCTATCTTAGGTCCGGCACTGCCACACACACCCCCACCCCTAGTGACCCAGGCTGCAGACTCAGTGTCTCTCTAGTTTTGTACCATTTCCCTTCACCCCCTGCTTCCAGTTTCCAAGTCTTTTGCATTCTGTCACCTGAATTCTTCTTTTCCAGTCCCTTCCTCTGCACAGCCCTGGTCCAAACTTCTCCTCTCCTGCTCGAAACCCCCTGCATCAGCCTTGTCTCTGCTCTCCCAGACTCCTGATCCCTCTATCTACCCTCCACTTGGCATCTAGAGAGGTATTTTTTATGATCAGTGCCCTCCACTGCTCAAAGCCTATCTGTGGCTCCCTAGTGCTCTGAGGGCAAAGTTACACCCTGATGGATCTGTTCCTGCCAACCTCTCTTTCCAACCTCATCTCTTTCCAACCTCACCGCTAACTCCCCATACCATGTCCCAAAAAATGAGATTTGAGAAATTATCCCAACACGTCACCCACTCTCTTGTCCTCGGGTCTTTGTACATGCCCCTCCCCACTCTGCTTTTGAGCCTTTAAGAGTCAGCTCAGGGGCCCTGTCAGTCCTCTGGGCTCCCCCATCTGGGTTGTCATTGCCTAGGGATGTGTCTGTCTCTTCTGTAGAGTGTGAGCCCTACACTGAGAACAGAGCTGGGGCTGCTTGGTCACCTCTGTGTCCCCAGCACAGGGCTGGGCTGACAGGAGGCCCTTCAATAGTTGTTTGATGGCCAGATGAATAAATAAATGACACAGATGGGAGAGACTGTGCCGGGCAATGTCTGTTTCCAGCAGAGCCCCACAGCCCTGACTTGGAGGCCATGTCAACAAATGTGAACAAATGACTGAGTGACTCGGCCCTAATGTCATGGGGACATTTTATTTAGAGTAGCTACCTTCCTTTTCTACCCCTGCCTTCCGGGCACAGAAAGGAAACCAACAGTGAAAAAAACAACCCATAACAACTATGTATAAGGGAAAACCTGCTATGCACCTGCTTGGGGAAGGAGGCTATGGGGTCTCAGTCGTCCTGGTCCTCATCCTCATCTTCCTCCTCATCCTCCTCCTCTTCCCCTGTGGCCGCCAGGGCCTGCTCCTGGGCAGCCTTGAGGGCCTGCTCCTCCTCCACCGTGGGGTCGCTCATCTCCATGATCTCCGGGTCACTGGGGTACTCTTGCTGGACGGTGCCTGGCAGGGGTGGGTTGAAGTTCTTGGGACTGTACTTGTGGCCCCAGCCGATGTAGATGTTCTCAAACTTCCTGGAGGGGCAGTGAGATACACACTGAAAGACCCTCCCTCAAAGGGCCCAGCCTGGACTGTCATTAAGGGTGGGACCCAGCATTGACATGGCACGACTACAAAGTTGTACTTGGTAGGGTGAAGAGTGCCCACCAGGTTTCTCTGTTCATTCATTCATTCCATATTTACTGAGCATCTACTAACAAATTTCATTCTGTTATTGATTTCTAATTTCATTCCAGTGTGGTCAGAGACCGTATTTTGTGTGATCAAGCCTTTTAAATGTATTGAGACTTGTTTTATGGTCTATCCTGGAGAATGTTCCATGTGCACTCGAGAAGAATGCATATTCTGCTGTTGTTGGGTGGAGTGGATTTTATTTCATTTTAATTAATTTAAACTTAAACAATAAAACTGATATTCAATTCAGTTATTGGAAAACGTCTAAGTCAGTCTGGGACAAGGGTACATGAATCTACTGTTGCAACTGTAAAAGTTGTGAAATCTGAATACAGGTCAAGTGTTTCTGATGAAAAGTTAGCATCTAAATTGAGATGTGCCGTAACTGTAAACTTCACGGCAGCTTAAGAAAAAAAGAATATAAAATAGCTCGTTAATAATTTTTACATTATTGGGCCGGCCCCGTGGCTTGGTGGTTAAGTGCGCGCGCTCCGATGCTGGCGGCCCGGGTTCGGATCCCGGGCGCGCACCGAGGCACCGCTTCTCCGTCCATCCTGAGGCTGAGTCCCACATACAGCAACTAGAAGGATGTGCAGCTATGACATACAACTA